AGAAGTCGCAAGAGCAATGGACTTATTTTCCACCTCTTTTTCTTTGTTATTTTCTTTCTTAACTTTCTTCTCATGATTCTCTAAGCTATCGCTCATGTTCTTCAAGTTTTCCAAACAATGTAGTTGTATCTAATGTCAATAGGTTGTTAGTTTTCTTGATGGTTGTCACCTTGGGTTGCCATTCCCTATTAAAATATATCAAAATTTTGTTAGTAGCAATATCCTTAGAAACCAGCTTACCAAGTACATTCAAACAGTTTACAAGATGAGTGAATCTCTTTTTCATTTTTTCTCCATGTGAAATAGTTCAAAATCTTTATTTAAGTGTTGATGCTTGCTTGATTGACTTCATTTGTATCTTCATGGGCTACTTGTAAAGCAATCCACATAGCTTTAGCGGTTTCACAATGAGAAACACGGTAATATTCATCAACTCCTAAAGCAGAGATTATAATATTTCTTACTCTCCAATTACTAGACCACTTTTTCTCATCTTCCTCATTCCATTGTGATTCCGGATTAGGTACTACAACAACATTCGTATTGGTCATAGTAATTTCAAATGGACCATTTTGGGTGGCGCTCCATACTTTTCTATCAATAGAATTGACATGGATAAGCTTAAAATCCTTCCAATAACCATGATTCTCACCATTGAAAATCAGAGCTTTATCATACGCTCCCTTTGGTTCGTAAGCTGTCATACCCCAAATTTTATCCCTAGATTTAATTATCAATCCAAAAATTTGACTGATCAATCCCTTGAGCTTATTAAGGCAAACCCTAATTCACAGATGAAACAAAACAAAGTCATATCTTGATAATTGGTTAGCTATACATGAATGATTGACCTAGAATGTTATGCAAATGATAATTGAATCTAGGGGTAAAATTTGGGGTATGACAGAAGCCATAATCTAATAAGATATTTTGAAGCACAAGATAAATCGGTTCTCTTAATAACACTTGTTAGACGAGGGAAACAATCTAAAAGGGTGGAGGGGGTTGAATAGATTGCCTAATGAAAATTTTCTTAATAAAATTTTGTTTTGAAAAATATTTTCTATGGCAAGCGGAAACAAATTTGGATCGACTCTCATCTATCCGAACTATTATGGTATAATAAAAAATATGCACAACCGTAGTAAAATCTATGCCAAAGATGAGAAAAACCAATCAACAAGTTCAATTTAAGTTGTTTTAATATAAACTACACTTAACATAAACGATTTCCAATGACAAGTAAAATAAAACTTGACTGAGGAATTTTGCTGAATACTTAGTGTGTAGTAATTTTATCGAAAACTTGGTGTGCAATACACCAAGATTGATTCTCCTTATGTTGAAGTTATAACAAATCAATTGTAATGGTTCGGATTGCAATGGTTTCACAAAATAACTTTTAAACACTTCAATACAACCAGAATTTTCAAAAATTCAAATTACATACTAATTGTTCTCAAAAATCAAAAGAGATTGAAATAGATAGAGAGAAAGAGAGAACATCAAGATTTATTTAGGTCGTCCCCAAATTGTCCTCACCATGGGTACGTCTTCCCTCAATTCGAATTCGAGTTGAGATATTTTAATTAACCTTTGCAATATCAGTTTACAAGAGAAGTGTAGAAATTCAAACCCCAAACTTTATGTTTGATGTTGGTTCTAGCTCCTTTTCTATCCTTGATCTTAGCAATATCAAGTCACATAAGATATCGAATATGACCCTCTGGTTACCGCTAATCCTTTGATTGAACCTTCTGTTCTTCAAAACTTTCAATCGGCTGAATCTAAATTGTGAAATCTTGCCATAAGCCTTTCAATTGATCCTCCAATTACAATTACTTCTTTGCAAGAATCCCTGTTCTTCAAAGTCTTTGCTCGACTAAATCCAACTTGACAAGGCTTGTGCATAAACCTCCAAATCAACCCTTGATCTTGGAGTAAAAACCCTAAAAGTTTTATCCTTGAAACCCTAAAGAAAACCTCAACCTAATTTTGATTACACAACCTAGATTGGACCTTATCAATCTTAACTTGCCAACAAACAATCAAAGATGATTATGTGTAGTTGATGAATGCATCAAGAAAGCTTGAAGATGATGAGAATTATTTGTATATTTCAGGTTGCAATGCTTAGAAATGATGCATGAATGAGAATTTATAAGTATGTGTATGTAGAAAAGAAATGAGCAAAAAATATTTTAAGCCAAAATGCAATTTTAAAATTTTGGTTCAGAATGTATTGAATCTAAATTGGAATGAGTCAATACTTCAGCTGAATGAGTCAATAAGAGACCAAATAAGGTCAATACATTAGAGGCAGTAGCTAAATACTGAAGAAAATGTTTCAGAATGAGTCGACCCATTCGATCAAAATATCGACCAAATTATCGTTTGTACCAAATCATTAGAGGCAGTGGTAAAACTTTAGAAAACATCTTTTAGATTAAGTCGACCCAAAGAAGAATGTATTAACCCATTGTTTTTTGTATCGACCCATTTAAGGAAGATTCAAAATCTTTAAAATTCAACTCAGTATGTATCGACTGATAATCAACATGTATCGACCCATGCATGTCATTTTGTGAAAAACTCATATTTTAACATGTGATGGCTTATGTAATCTAGTCTTACATACCATGATGATGATGTACACTTAGAAAAAGATTAAGAGATCCAAATATACAAAGATCTAACCTACTTAACCAAATTTTAACATCATTCAAGAACATATTACACACACACACACACGCACGCGCGCACGCACGCACACACACACACACGCGCACGCACGCACACGCGCGCACACACACACACACACATATATAATTTATTATTTAATGATTATAATTGTTCTCTACGTGTTTTCATATTTTGAATATATATATATATATATATATATATATATATATATATATATATATATATATATATAAAGACACGTGTATTATTGATAGATACATTATAATTATTTGTCATAATTTTATTATAGTTTTGATTTGGTGGAAATTTTTCAATATATATATATATATATATATATATATATATATATATATATATATATATATATATATATATATATATATATATATATATATATATATATATATATATTCAAAATATGAAGACACGTAGAGAACAATCATAATCATTAAATAATAAATTATATATATATATATATATATATATATATAGATATATATATATATATATATATATATATATATATATATATATATATATATATATATATATATATATATATATATATATATATATATATTCAAAATATGAAGACACGTAGAGAACAATCGTAATCATTAAATAATAAATTTTATACATACATATATATATATATATATATATATATATATATATATATATATATATATATATATATATATATATATATATATATATATATATATATATATATATATATATATATATATATATATATATATATATATATATATATATATATATATATATATATATAAAGACACGTGTATTATTGATAGATAATTATAATTATTTGTCATAATTTTATTATAGTTTTGATTTGGTGTAAAGTTTTATATATATATATATATATATATATATATATATATATATATATATATATATATATATATATATATATATATATATATATATATATATATATATATATATATATATATATATATATATATATATATATATATATATTCAAAATATGAAGACACGTAGAGAACAATCATAATCATTAAATAATAAATTATATATATATATATATATATATATATATATATATATATATATATATATATATATATATATATATATATATATAGATATATATATAAATTTCCACCAAATCAAAACTATAATAAAATTATGACAAATAATTATAATGTATCTATCAATAATACACGTGTCTTATTGATAGATACATTATAATTATTTGTCATAATTTTATTATAGTTTTGATTTGGTGGAAATTTTTCAATATATATATATATATATATATATATATATATATATATATATATATATATATATATATATATATATATATATATATATATATATATATATATATATATATATATATATATATATATATATATATATTAATTAATTAATGATTATGATTTTTCTCTACCTATCTTATTTTAAAGTGTATATATTAATGATTATGATTTTTCTCTTTAATAGAACTCTCCATTAATGTAAAAGATCTTAACTCTAGTTATACTAATTTTTTAAAAACCATGTTTATTAAAAGAAAAAGGATTAAAGCTTCATGAGATTTATTTAAACTATTTTGTAACAAACTTTTTGACAAAAAGACTTATAAGCTTTGTATGAGATCACAATACTCTAATAGAGGCAAAATCACAAGGAGAAAGATGACATATTAAAAAAAGTGAGAGAAAAAGATCTTCTATGATTTTTTTTGTTTAGTTTTATTTTTATTATTTTATAATTTTGTTTTATATGTTTATTTTAATATAAATATTTGCATTTTTTTTTCTTTAGATCGATGTTTTGTATAAAGATAGGGGTGATGAATTTGTACTGTATTTTTCTTTTTTTATTTAAAATTATTTATTGATTGTCTATAAAATAATGAAAGTTGGTCAAAAATTTAATTTAGGAAAAAATAATTAAAAATTCTTTTTTAATACTACTTAATGAATTATTTTAAAACTGAGGGTGAATGCAATATGTTTATATTATTTTCCCTTTGTAAATATGTATGTTTGTGAGCTATATTTCCTATAAATCATTTTCTTATATGTATTTCAATGTTCTAGGTGTGAAAGACTTAAAATTACATGTGACAATCTAAGAGGAGGTAAAATTCATGAACAATACATTATTGAATATTTTCTTCATAATTTCAGTTCCCATTTGTTACATCCTCTTTTTTTTTTTATATTTGTCTTTTTAATTAGTTTTTTTTTTCTTTTCTATTTGTAGATTGTTTCAGTTATTTGATCACATATATATCAATGGAGAACAAGAGATGGTTGAACATAGTAGTTGATGGCAACAAAGTTATGGAGCAGTATTGGACTGATATTGTTTCAAACTATCTTGAAAAAATTGTCAGGTTTGATGATTTATAAATCTTGTATAATACTTCTCTTTAATTTGCTACACATGATAACTAAGTTCAAACATTTATAATTCATGAACTTAACACTTAATTCTCTTTAATACTCTTTGATTGAATGCAAATTAGTAACGGTTTCTCAATATTAAAATCTTATGAAGCATGTGATTTTATTGGGTAATGATTTTTTTTTTTTTTGCTCAATAATGAAATTGTTTGAACCCAGGTAAATACTAATATGATTAGTTAATTGAAAAAGATCATTGAATTTGACCTAAAAGAGCATAATTGAATTAGAAAATATTTTATGCCTATCAAAAAGAGAAAATATTTTAATATATTTTAATTGAGTATAATATAGCGTTAAATATGGTCAAAATTTCAATAAAGAAAATCAAATCGCTAAAAAAATAGTCAAATCCATGTCACAAGATGATACTGAAAAAAAATTCTTAACATTTGTTATTTGTCTTTGTTTAAAATGTATTATAATTATTTTTGTACGTCATCAATCTCGAAATTATTATTATTATTATTATTATTATTATTATTATTATTATTATTATTATTATTATTATTATTATTATTATTATATTGTAAAAAACAAACAAATTTATGTGATATAGTAGTAACACTTTTCATGTAAAAAAAGGGTTAAATTATATAGGTCCGAGCATTTTCTTAATATACTTATTTCTTTATAACTTTTAATTTTGATTTAAATCTTTTTAGTCAAAAGATTTCGAGAAGCAATTTTTATTTATAATTATATGTAAATTATCTTAGCATGATCTATAAAGTTTGATTTTGTTGTGAAAAAAATTAAAATAATATGTTTTTTCAATTAAATTTCAAAATAATAATAAATATTATTTTTGAACCACCTACTATGATGTCAACTTTATAAGATATATGATGTTTTATATAGTATATTCTTTACAAAATATTTAATTTTGCATCATATACATTGTAAATTTGGCAAAAAAAATTGTGAAAAAAAAAGAAGCAATTATTCTAACTTCTAACCATAAATTAGTTATTATTTTTTCAATAAAAAATGAATTTCTGTTAGAACATAGAAATGTCTTACAAATCAACAAATTTGTCGATATTCAAATTCAAACTACATAGCGTAAACAAATTTCTTTGTAGTCAAGAAAGAAAAAGCAAAACTAATTTATGTCAACAAAATTGTCGTATAGTTTAATTACACCGAATCATACAAAAAAGTAGTAAACTTTGCTTCAAATATTTAAAAAATATTATGTATTTTTAAGAATTGAGAAAACACGTGTTTTCTTTTTATATCTCTTTATACAAATTTCTCTTTCATCTTTATTATGTGAAAATATTCTCTAACTTTAAAGACAACAAAAAAAACACGTAATCCGTCCAAATCTCGTAACTAGAGTGTAATTCATTTTTCCATATAAACACAAAATTGACTCAAAAATAGATCATATAAAGTAAAATATAAAAAAAAATGAAGAGAGAAAATCCAAAAACAAATAATAAAAAGCAAACAAATATAGTTACACCGTCCATCTTAAAAAAATACAAGAATTAAGGAGATTCATTCATTGACTATTTTAAAAAAAAAAATTATTTGTCGAATTGTTCATTGTACAAAATTTATCGGAGGTAAAATTTGTCAAGAAATTTGATAATCACATCTTAGATAAGCTAAATAATTAAATTTAGAGATATTATTATTAGTAATAAATTTAATCATGAATGTAGTTAAGCATTACGTTTTAATTACAACCGATAGATATTAAAATTTTATATTTTAAAAATAGATAAGTAATATGTCGCGAATTTGAATTTGTATTATATTGTCAGATGTCATGCACAATTATTAATTAAAATAATGACTTTAAATGCATTAAAATTTCTTGTAAAACTATAGTTGCAATCAATATTAAACTTGTATATCACTTATTCCTCTGTTGGTTATGCAGGTGCTTCATTGGTGAAAGACAAGACCATGTAATTTTAATCATTTCTTTCTTCAAATTATCCAAATATAATCCACTTTTGAAGTCTACTGGTTAATAATTTATCTTCTATTACATTATGTATTTTTTCTCTACAGGAAAATTATCTTGGACTAGTATTTTATAATGCAAACTCTGAACTAGGTAACACTATTTTTTTTGGTATAAAATTTAATGTGAATTTATTGAATGCATAAATAGCTGAACATTTAAACTTGTATTTAGTGGAAGCAGGCTATGACATGCAATTCATAAACTGGACAAAAGATGTGAATAAATACATGCAAAATTTGTCACATTTATCATTCAATGGAAATGATGTTAATCAATCTAGCTTGGCAGAAGGTTTAGCAGAAGCTCTTGTGGTATTTTAATTCTCATATTCTATTATTAATTTAACTATATATTTATGTGCATGAAACTATATAGAAGAAGTGGAAATAAATTTAAAATTTTGAAAATTGGTTGAATTGTTCAGATGTATCCAAAGCCATGTGATAGCATGACAGAAAGAGAATACTACACTGCAGAAAGACATTGTATTCTTGTTGCTCCAGGTGATCCTGTTCCTAAGACAATGCCTGTCTGTGTGCCAATGATTCAAAGAGCTCAAGTTATTGGTCAAAGATTACAGGCTTGTCACATCGATTTTCTCGAGGTCGCCAAAAAATGTGTTCCGGTAATATACTCGAACATCACAGATTTAGTTTCTTTATGCAGTGATTACAGAGACGTTGAATCTGAAGTTAAGTTTACACTTAGATTAAACGTGTCTGTAGTCGTCGCTAGAAAAAATTGTAGAAAAATTGTGACGTATATAACTTTCTAATATGCTCATGTTGCTTCACACAGCTAGCTGTGTCCCTCTCAGTGATAACTCCTAATCCAGTTCCAATTTTTGGAGCCATATTTAACTTGGTAAGTGTTATTTTCCCATATACAAAATCCTAGTTTTTCAATGAATGACTAGTTACTTACAACTTGATGTCTGTGAAAACTCACACACTTGACACGACACTGAAACATCAACTACATGTGCAGTGTCGTGGTAATCGTGTTAGTGTCCAACATTGGTACATGTCAGACACCGGACATGTTTTTAATATGAAGTGTCATTACTGCATAGATTGAGTACGATGTTTTGGTGAGTATGTTGATGGTTTTTGTTTTTGTGGACTTAGGGAAATAATGTATTAACATTATCAAATGCTCCAATCTCAAGCTACAGCACTGGAAAATTCACAATTTTACTGTCAAAAAACTTTAGAGAAGCACACAAAGCACTCAAAGAAAAAAGAATAGTGGAATTTCCTTCAACAAGTGCTGGATCCATTAATACAGCACTTGATTCATCACTTTTCAGTGTTCTCAATTTCCAAGGTTATTTATTTTTCTTCATATATATAAAACTTTGTAATATCAATTTTCATTCTTCTTTCTGCAGAAGTTATAGCTATTTTCATTGATTTTTTAACATTTTCTTATTCTTCATTTCATTTTGTGATATTTTCAGAAGAATCCTTATCATCTCAGGCAATAGGAGCGAAAATAAGCGAAGCTTGCAATGATTTAACACCGGTAATGTACCTCTTTCATATTTGTTAGAATGATTTATGTGTTATATTGACATACAATGCATTCTTGTTTAGGAGAGTGTAAGCGCCTCGCAACCTCTCGATTATCAGGAATTGATTTTTCCGAATGGCACGGCCCAGGCGAATGTGGCATCCACTAACTCTCAAGTTCAAGTAAATCTATTAGAAGATATCATGGCCGAGCTTAATAGCGATAACGATATTTTTCCACCGACGAAAAGGTCGAGAACATTTACACCATTAGAAGAAGACAATGATCTGATAAACCTTTTGGAACTCAGTGAGAACCCTTTTGATGATATCAACCATTCTCTTGGACACGACCAAGGAGTGTCGTTCGGAAAACAGTTTTCGTCTGAAGCTCTAATAGAATTTGAAAATGAACTGGAAAAAGCTCTGAATGTTGCTTCCCATAATACACCAGATAATCAAACATCAAATGTTGAATTGACAGCAAGTTCATCAAAGGTAGTAAACTTTACGCCTTTCGAAGTACAAGCTCCTGTTCCAAATACAGGAGAAGGATCATCAACAGGACTGTTTTACCAAAACAATTTACAATCATGGTATGATCCGAGCGCGATAACAACGAACAAATCAACATTGGATTCTTCTTCTCAATTCCAAGCTAGTGTTCCCAATATGACTTTCGCATTTCCTTGTGTAACAAGAAACTCACAGATGCAACCTCAACCATACTCATCATCAACAAGTCAGTTAACAATGTTTCCTAGTCTTGCTAGAGAATCAATCGGAAACTTTTCCGCCCAACCTACGGGACAACACTTTCAACCCTACAACCAGTATATGAGGAATAATATGGCTCCGTTAAATTTACCTTCGCGTGCGTTTGGAGCAAATACTTGGATTCATTCTGCACAAACCATATCTCCGTCGTTTCAAAACTTGAACTCAAATTTGTATGTCCTCCCGTCCCTCGACAATTTACAAGACTACATTCATACTTGGGAGGTAAGTTCAACTATGCTTTATCTTTATTCCTATAAATTTACATTCTATGAATTCACGAGGTTGCTGATAATCTATGAATCATGATCCAGGGAAATTTAACAGGAAAAATAAACTCGAGCCGAGTAACTGTCATTAAAGCAAGGGTATGATAGAATCTAGTTTTTATGGAAATAATTGACATGAAAATGTATACATAGCTTAAAATTTTCCTTGTTTGTTTCCATGTAACAGGCTTTCCGAAAAACATCAACAGCACTCACGTAAGTGAATTCTGTTTTGTATAATCATAAATTTTGTAAACTCAGAATTTTTAACTTTTTGGTGCATTTTGCAGGCTAACTCTTAGGTGGAGTAACAGGTTGGAGATAAGCCACTTGATACCTTTTAAGGCTGTCAACCATACCAAAAAGTAATTATTATTTAAGCACAATGATGCCTATTTTCAATTAATATTAATCAGTTATACTTCCATACATATCCTAATAATGCTAAATTTTCAGATTTTCACATCCAATAGATAATGTCATCTTCCATGTGCTTAAGTACAGCAATATTGATTTGTACAAGCACTTGAAAAGCAGATTTTTGGTGAGTCACATTTTTTTTATACACAAAAGTTGAAATTATTTTTGGTACCAACATAGTCTTAAATATATGATGTGTCAATGCAGTGTGCTAAAATTGATCTACAATACCAATCAATAATTCTGTCACCAACTGAAAGAGAAAACTTCTTTGTTGGAACAGTTTTTCCTGGGGTGAGTATAGTATCTAACCTTAAAGCTTTTCATTGAAGTTTCTTTTTGAATTTTCATTACTTGTTTCAATATTTATATATCTAACTATTCAATAAATGACAGGACACATTGTTCATAGAACCTGCTTAATCAGTTAAGGATCTACTTCCCTTAATTTGTAACCAACGTGCCTTTATCTAGCCGTTGTGGCCTTATGTAAAGATACCCATTATTAAACTAACAAACTCTTCTTCCTTAATTTGCTCTAATAAGTATTATCAATTCTATATCTTCAAGTGGTATTCTAGGATTTTTGCTACTCCTAGTATATAGTTAAGGTATTATTGGATCTCCTTTCTAATATTCAAAATGATTGATATTATGTTTATTTTCTTATCTCAAATATAATCAATTACCTATTATCTCGAATCTATAAGAACAAAAAAATTGTTCATATTTTTTATGAAAAGCATTTTTAAGATTGCACTTATCTTTTTTTATAAGATTTAGAAAATTAATTATACTTAACTAAAATTAACTATACCGAAGAAATAGGTAGCTGTCAACGGCTTCTTTAGTTAAAGTGGAGCAGATACCATTTCATAGAATCCTAAATTTAAATCCATAAGCTTCTATAAATACTTTGCCCCTAGCATGAGAACAAAACAACTGATAACGTACACGAAATACCTTAAAGGTATAGAAATTTTCACTTCACATGAGCATGATATCTCCATAGCCAAAACACCATAGAACATCATTTCTCTCCACAGTGAGCAAACCTTAAATCACCAAAAATCACTAAGGCATTTGACCACCCCTACCATCATAGGGGTTCCACGAATTATGTACTTTTTGACAAGTACAATGGCACCCACCGTGGACCTTCGATAAAACTAATATATGTCACACCTTCCATTATCATCATCATTTCTAGTAAGTCTTCACCTCTATCTTCAACTGTCTTCAATCATGGTTGTCAGGAGAGCACAATCTTCCACATAGGAGGATACTATAAGTAGTAGTGATTCCAACTCTAGAGCATAAATGTTCGTCACCTAAACAAATTGCGCCGCTAGAATCAAAGTCAGGAGGAAAATGTCCACAAATCCAACAACGTCAACAAGAAGATATTGTTAGACTAAGCTCTAATAGTCAATCAATATTGGTTGTATTTGCTTTTATATCACGACTTATATATATATATATATATGTGTGTGTGTGTGTGTGTGTGTGTGTGTGTGTGTGTGTGTGTGTGTGTGTGTGTGTGTGTGTGTGTGTGTGTGTGTGTGTGTGCGCGCGCGTGTGTGTGTGTGTATAATCAAACATTGTATTTATTGTGTTAATTGCATATGACATAATAAAATTCTTTGAATAATTAGTCTATTTAATGACTCATTAAGTGTGACTTAATCGTGATACATCATTAAATATAAGGACATACAACAGTGATGTATAGAGACTATTAAATGAGTAGACTGATTACCGTATTTCATGGGTCATGGGTATGAGATATCAAGTTTTCGCATATGTATGAATATTAGAAGTAATATTTATACTTGATTAATCCACCATGAGAATACTACATAGTATATTATGTAAGTGTCATAAGTTATTCTCATACTGATAGTGGTGCGTACTACCCTTCGACGTGAAACCAGTATGGACCCTAGATGTGGAGTCGAGTGTTTTATTGTCAATCAAAAGTTGTTCATAATAGGATGACCATAAAAATTGTTGATGAGTACTCCATAAGTCATGCTGAGGGGCATGAGTGACCTAAACGAGATTTTTCCCTCCTACATATACAGGAGTAATATCTAAGGGATCCTTGATCGCGTATGACTGTAAAATGCATGACCATACTCAAATAAATCAATATGAGATATTGAGCTTATTTGTTATTATTAAGTATACTCGAAGATCAAGAAATATAATATTAGACTATACAATGGTGACACATTCTATGCCTTGTGGTCAATATAGATATAAGAGCATAAGGGCAATTGTACACATGATTATTATCATAGAAATATTATTGTAGATCACACGACATTCTCATTAATTGGGTAGCAGTGATGTGTTGCTAGATACGACTCAATATTTTTAATATTAAATAGGTAATTTAATATTAGTGTCACTTGCATGATCACACGCGTAGAGTACTTATAGTAGAATGAGTGATTAAATTATATAAGATTTAATTTAATTATGTGTTAATAATATTTAAATTATTTAATATACTAACACTTATATAATTTATTTGATTAAATATAATTTAAATAAATAAATGAGAAATGACATTTTATTAAATTAAATATGATTTAATTATTTTATTCTAATAAAAGATTTTAATTAAATATAAATAAGATTGGGGTTATTTTTGGAAAAATCTAAAATAAGAGCATTAGGCTTTTAGTAGCTCTCTGTAAATAGAGAATCTCTTTTCCCTCCAGTCATAGTTTTTAGTTTTGTCATTCTAAAAAAACGACTAGCACTGCCTTCTACTTTGCACACACTTGGACTTTGTAGAAACAATGGTATTTTCACGTTCGTGATCAAAGTTAAAACACGCTTCTAGAGGTTTTTTTAGACAATTCTAATTATGTTTGATTTCTGATTAATGATTTAACTCAATACTCTATTCAGATAATTTAGATTTGAAGCACATGAATAGATTGTACAAAATACAAATAAAATCAAGACTCAACAAAAACTAAATTCTTCTAATGAGTAGATATTTTCTCTTGAGATTCGATTTTTCACAAAGGAGATGAACTTCTTATATAGCCACAAAAGTACAATTTCAAAATCCCATAAATTTGAATCTTTATTGGACTTTTAAAAAAACACATGAGGTCAATCTTTAATAATGATGATTTCCAATCTTGATTGATCTTCTTGAATAGATCTAAATCTTTTGATTATTCTTGCTATAATTGATTCATATCACATCCTCCAAAAACTCACATAATTGTCGTACCTCAAAAAATGAGAACACGACCTCGCGAAGCGCAATCGCGCGCTCACGGGATGGACTTAACAGAGTCGTCACCGAAATTTATTTATTTCTAAAGAGGGAATGATAAAATATCGATAAAAATCCTCAAAAGAAAGGATAAGATATGGTCATCGCAACCAATATCAGGGTTCGAGAGTCATTTACACAAGGAGAAGGTATTAGCACCCCTCACGTTCGTTGTACTCAACAGAAACAATTTAGTTAGTTTCGAATTGAATGTTAGCTTATGTTAATTTCTTATCTTCTATTTATTTGGGATAGAAAAAGAGAGAGAAAATAAATGTTTTTGGATTTTTTTTATTAATGATTAAAAGAAAGATTTTTTATTAGGGTGCAAATAATAAAGGATCTAAACAATTTTTTATTATTAGGGGGTCTGACAAGATTTTGTGATCCTGCTCATACGTATCTCTAAGTGCAATAGAAAATTCAAGACTTACGTAGTTCTGGGCAGAAAATGTTTGTTTGTTGGTCGATTTTAGCGAAAGCTATCTTGCAATAATCAATGGAAAATATTGTTTTACCCAAAACAGGTGAGGAGCGGACATTTGCATCACATTGAATGAATTTACAAATTAATATTCACGAGAAAACATACTTATCCCAACTCAATGATTGTGGATGAAGCATTGCTTTACATCAACTTAAGACAAAAATATCTTTCATTTATGAAAAGGTTTTCGAGATCGCACGGTGTAACACCCCAAAATAATTAGATTATTTATTTAATTGATTATGATGAGTTTTATGAATATTTCTTGTGAATATATGGTGTTTTGCGGAATATGATGTGTTTTATATGTTGTGTTATGGGGTAGAACGAATTAAGATGAATATGAGGATTATTTATATTTTAGATAATTAGTTTTAATTATTTAGAATTGTTTTAATATTAAAATAAAGATGATATATGGTGTAGAGAGGATAAGGGAAAAGGGGTAATATTCATGAGGGTTAGTGACGGCAAGTTGGAAAAGACATATTAGGGGTCTAAGGGTTAAACAAGGAAAAGAGGGGGAAAATGTCTCATTTTGTACGATCGTGTTTTGAGAGCACCATAGAAAGGAAAAAGGCTAGGGCTCAAGGAAATTGTTGTAGAACTCAAAGAGGAAGAATCAATTGCTAGGAAAATCTAAGGTATGAGGAGTATTGTTTATCATTGTAATTGATATAGGTTTTAGATGTATGTATGTTGTTTGGGGTTTCGTGATGAATTTAATAATATGATGAATTTATGATGAAATTGGTGAAGTATTGATGTGATAATGCTATAAAATGGTATAGGAAATGAGTGGTAGTGTATGTGGTTGTAGAATTATGTGTATTTTGGACTGAGTTTGTATTGGAATCAAAAGAAATTTGGGGTCTGAACCGATGCAAAATCACAACTGAGAAGTTGCTATTACGACAGTTTCGTCGGGCAAACATCCTACATTTTCGGGTGAAGCAACTTCGCCCCAGCAGCGCTAGGCGAGAGTAGAGGTGAAAAGGAGGTGCTCCTGAAAAATGTATGGGAGGGGTGTTTTGCCCCTATTTTGCCGAGCAAGCCTCAGGCGAGCAGAATGTGACAGATTTATTTCTAAAACTTTGAAAATTCATAACTCGGGTTGTGAGTGTCTGATTGATGCGTGATTCGAATCATTGGAAAGCTGGTTTAATGTACTTTCTCTTATAAATATTTTTAGTACCATAATTCTAACTATTTAATGTGTGGACGGTTGTTTCGTGCTGTCGAGTTATGTCGTTTTGTGAAAGGTATGAAAAAGGCTTTGTGTAATTAATAATTGGTTATGTTCTATGTCCAATGATAGTAATGATGTTGTTATGGAATTAATTATGATGACTTTAACGTTGAGGTGATGTGATAAATGTTACTTGTAGTGACGTTTGATGACGTGTATGATAACATTATGTATAAATGTTATGTGATGAAGATTGTATGATGTGTTGAATGAAGTTGACATTAGTACTCAATGCCAGAAGTCGAAGAAGACTGTTACTGCTGCTCAGGCTAATGGCAAAGTGTTTGCTTTGAGCGGTTCAGAATTTTCTAAGAAGGATAACTTGATTTGAGGTACTTGTTTTATTAACAATACTGAGTTGGTTGCTATTATTGATACTGGTGCTA